CAACAAGATTCCAGCATTTGCAGCCTCAAGGTTGGAAAGGTGAAAGAACTTGTTTTGAGAAAAAAGCTCCAGAGCACTATGTTCCAGAATGACAGCAGAATAGAGAATTTCTTCCTTGGGATTGGGTTCAGAGTGATGGCAATCCAGGTACTCAACCCATGCAGCCAAGAGAGAAGGAAGTCTGGCTACTGCTTCAGCAGATAGCAAGACTTGTGGGGGCCAGGGATTTAGCTCAATGGTGCTTGCAAGTGCAAGATCCTGAGATTGATCCCAGACAACAAAACTAAAAAGCAAGAGTTATGGAGTCAGGAAGGCTTCTATACAGATTTCAGGCAGTGCACACCTAAGAGGACAGTTTACAAATCTATGAGTGTGAAGCCAAAGATGAAGTGGAGGTCCTAGAAGTTTGGAGAAGCCAGGAATGTGGATCATCTGAGGAATACTTCAAGGAGGGAGCAGAACCAGCCCAAGAGAGAAGCCATGGAAGATACAAGCATCAACAAAGCTGTAGGGTGTAGCCTGCTATAGTTCACATCTTGCCACAGATTGCTTTGGTTGCTGGTCATGGAACTACAGGACTTAGTGTTTGCTCTGCTGAATTTTGGGTCCGCTTTGGTCACATTCCTTTGTAAACCCCCATTGGCACATTTTGGAATGGTAATGTTTATCTTGTGCCAACACTGTATGTGTCGGAAGCATTTGACTTTCTTTTCATTTGTATGGGGGCTTGCAGCAAGGATTTTGCCTTTAATCTCAGAGGAAACTTTGGACTTGGACATTTCAGCTATGCTGAAACTATTAGTACTTTGGCAACTCCTAAAGATGAACAAAATGCATATTGCATATAGGGATATATATTAGTCTTTGGGGGGCCAGAGGCTGAATGTTATGACATATATCTAGATGTCACTCCAAAGCCTTGCATGTTCATAGGTGGGGCTTTCAGAGGTAGCTGGATCTAGGGTGTGTAATGCTGGAATCAAGGATGTGAAGCTGGGATTGGTTCATGGTGTGATGCTAGGAATAAGGCCCTCACCCTGGGTGTGAGTGCTACTGGCCCTAAGGGTGGGTAGCCTGGATAGGATAAAAGAGGCAGAAGAAGGGTCCATTTCTTGTTGCTTGCTACATTGCTGCCTTCTGCCTTCCATGAACTGTTTTTCTTCTGCGATGTCCCTCTGCCCTGCCACCCTACCTTGGAGCCAGCCAATTATGGACTGAAACCTCTACAAACTGTTAGTCAAATAAACTTTTCCTCCTTTAGTTGTCAAGCAACTAAAAAAGAGAACTACAGGCCAATCTTCTTAATGAATATAGATGCACAAATCCTTAATAAGATACTAACAAACAATACAGAGGATCAGCAAGAAGATCATACATCCTGACCAAGTGGGATTTATTCCAAGGATGCAAGGATGGTTCAACATATGTAAATCAATAAATGTTACACTATATTGACAAAATTCAACACCAATTCATGATAAAAACCCTGCAAAAAAATTGGAATAGATGGTCTATATCTCAACTTAATAAAGGCTATCTATGAAAAACCAACAGCCAGCATCATATTAAATGGCCCAAAACTGAAAACCTTCACATTAAAATCAGCAACATGACAAGGATACTCACTATCACCACTCCTTTTTGATATAGTTCTGGAAAGGTTAGCCATAGCAATTAGACAAGAGAAAGAAATTAAAGCAATAAAGATAGGAAAGAAAAAAGTTAAATGGAGATTATTTGCTGACAATATGATACTCTACATTGAAGACACACACACAAAAAAAGACTCTACCAAAAGATTTCTAAACTTAATTGACACTTTTAGCAGAGTAGCTGGATACAAGGTCAACACTCAAAAATCAATAGCCTTCTTGTACACAAATAACAGATTCACTGAGCAAGAAATTAGGGAAACAATTCCTTTCACAATAGCATCCAAAAAAATGAAGTATCTAGGAATCAATCTAATGAAAGAAGCAAAAGACCTCTACACTGAACACTACAGCACTCTGAAAAAAGAGATCGAAGAGGATGTAAGAAAATGGAAAGATATCCCCTGCTCCTGGGTAGGAAGAATCAAAATAGTGAAAATGGCCATACTACCAATACTGCTATACAGATTCAATGCAATGCTGATTGAATTTCCAACACTATAATTCACAGAATTAGGAAAAAATCCAAAAGTTCATTTGAAACCATAAGAGACCCAAAAGAGCAAAAGCCATCCTAGGAAACAGAGATGGTAGTGGGTATAACAATCCCCAATTTGAAACTATACTACATAGCCACTGTGATAAAAACAGCATGGTACTGGCAAAGAAACAGATTTGAAGATCAGTGGAACAGATTGGAAAGCACAAAAACAAATCCAGATGTACTCAGCTATGTCATCTTTGACAAAGGAGCTGACCATCCTCACTGGAGGAAAGATAGTCTCTTTAATAAATGATGTTGGAAAAACTGGATCTCAACCTGCCAAAGGTTAAAACTGGACCCTTATCTTTCACTGCGCACTAAATTAAAATCCAAATGGATTAAAGATCTAAATATTAAAACAGAAACACTAAACTTGCTGGAAGATAAGTTAGGCAGAACTCTTGAAGACATTGGCATAGGAAAAGACTTTTTGAACAAATCCTCAGTAGCACGGGAACTAGCAGAAAGAATCAATAACTGGGATTGCATCTTATTAAAGAGCTTCTGCAATGCAAATGAAGTCATCAACAGAAGTAAGAGACAGCCTACATGCGGGAAAAAATTTTTACCAGCTGCTCCTCAGACAAAGGACTATTATCTGGAATATATAAAGAACTCAAAACAGTCATCCCCCCCAAATATAAAGACCTGAATCAAAAATGGGCAACTGAAATGAGCAGACATGTCTCAGACAAAGAAGTAAAAGCGGCAAGTAAATATATGAAAAAATGTTCCACATCACTGGTCATTGGAGAGATGCAGATGAAAACAACACTGAGATTCCACCTCACCCCACAAAGAATGGCAGCTATCAAGAAATCAACCAAAAACCAATGTTGGCGGGGTTGTGGGGAGAAATGAACCCTTCTTCATTGTTGGTGTGAGTGTAGACTGGTGCAACCAGTATAGAAAGCAATATGGAGATACCTGAAAGAGCTGGGACTAGAGGTTCCATTTGACCCAGCCATCCCTCTGCTGGGTGTCTTTCCAAAAGAATTAAAAGAATCATATCACAGAGATATATGCCCACTCATGTTTATAGTGGTAGAGTTTGTAATAGCTAAAACTTGGAAACAGCCCATTTGCCCATCAGTTGGAGATTGGATAAAGAACATGTGGTTTTCCTATAAAATGGAAACCTATTCAGCCATAAAGAATGAGAAATTAGCTTCATTCATAGGAAAATGGATACATATTGAGGATACACTCCTAAGTGAAATAATAAGTCACATATGTGTAAAAACTGAAGTTTCTCTGGTTTGAATAAACTTTAATAGCACATAAGATCCTAATGATATAATGGACAATGTGAAATAGGAAGATAGGGGCTAAAGGTGTAGGGAAAGCTAATATGGGGAAAACATTAGAAAATAAAAAAATGGAATTGAAGCATTAGTAAAGGGGGAGGGTAGTAGGGGTGAAAGGAGGGCAGGGACAAGGGGGAAAAATTAGAACCAAGACCACCTGTCATGTAAAGGTGCAAGATCCCAATAATGACTGTAACTGTACTGTACACCTAAAATGTACCAATAAACTCAATGAGGAAAAGAAATAGAGTATGGTGTCAGCGTCTTCTAAGCTTCTGTTGAGGGTCTTCTGTCTGCTGATGGGGACTCTGCAGATTACTGAGAGTGTGAAGGATGACACATGTTAAAACAGCAAGCTTGTATGTTTGGGTCTCTTATCCTGTACTTTTAAAGCTACTAATGCATCATGAGGGCTCCATCATCATGACCTCATCTAATCTTAATTACTCTCCTAAGAGCCATTTCTAAATAGAATTAACTTTGACTTTGGGAATTAAGTTTCAACATCAGTCTTGGTTGGGATAAAACATCTGCAAACATACCATTGTTCTACAGATTTCTATTGATCTTAAACTCTTAAAATAGCCATATTAGGCCACATATGTACCCAGAAGGAGATTTCCTATGTTTCATTAATTTATAGATTTTTAAATCTCACTTCTTTGTTATATTTGCTAATAAAATATTCTAACATGTTGTAAAATTTCCTTATAGGTAGTTGGTAAAACTTTGCTGAATGAGAATATATTTGATTCCGAGTCAACTAAAAAATGTTTTTAATGATGAAAGACATTTCTCAGGCCTTTAGGACATTTCCAGAGCAATTGCTAATGGTTTTATTCAATTCAGCTATTCAAATCTTCTTCATCAATTTTGGTATCATCTCTTTTGGGAAGCATTCAACAAACATGTAGGTACTGGTATAAAAATTTACTTCAGTATTATATCTTCATTTCTTACTGAATTTAGTAGCTTATCCTCTTTTGTTATAAAGGAACATTTCCCTTCTTCTTTCTGAAAGATTAGAATCGAATTTTGTTTCCTTTCTTCAAATATCTTATAGTTACATTCTTCAAAATGCTCTTCTTAAGAAAGTAGCTGTGGAGCTGGGCGTGGTGGCACACACCTGTAATCCCAGCACTCAGGAGGCTGAGGCAGGAGGATTGCTGTGAGTTTGAGAGCAGCCTGGGCTACACTGTGAGTTCTGGAGCAGTCTGAACTACATAGTGAGACCCTGTCTCAAAAAAACAAAACAAAAAACAAATAAACAAACAAAAGAAAGTAGCTGTAGAAACCACAATTCTTAGTGTAATTATTAAATTATAAGGATACATACCACCAGCAAACCACAAAGAAATAATTATACATCCTGGTCACAAATATAATCAACTCTAGGTTGAATGTTAAGAAAATTTTAATTGTACAAATGTATTACATAAAATTTCAAATATAAGTGGCAGTACCATCAACAGTGTTATCAAAATATGTAATACAGGAATACATTTTAAAATGGATATAAAAAAGATAATTTGGGAGCCATAAATCTCATTATGGGCATAGGTAGTCATTCATTTATGAAACTTTTTATATGGAAATAGGCTTCTTTTGAAGAATTCCATTGTAGCTGAGATGAAAAATGTATTGATGTAACTATGATAATGTATAGCTTTCTTCTATTTTTCTTTTCATGGTAGGATTGCTAAAGTTTATTTTAAATGCCCAACTGATACAAGGTGCTTTCAGGAAGGAGGACGCTGCCGTGCCCGACAGCACCTGGCCTCATTCTGGATGGGCCACGTGCTAAGAGGAGGCCAAAGTACTTCACATTTCAGGCAAGGAATGGCAGAGTTACTGTGTCAGCCACCTGGCCAATCCTCCAGTAAACCTAGCCTTGAAGTTTCTTCTAAGATTTCATAGAGGCAGCACAGAACACATGCTTACCTCCCCAGGAAAGCTGGTGCAGGCTTTCTGCTCAGCCGTTTTGAAAAGAAGAGCACTGTGAGCCCCATGTGTCCTGGCTTTGGGCATTATCAAGGGTGTCCCAAGCAGAGGGTCATACTCTGACTTAGGAAACATCACAGGTGGTACTTGAGCCAACTCCAATGTCAGATGGCTCCCATGGCAGCTGCTAGGAAAACTCCTAGGACACTAGGGTACCAAGCAAAGGTTCAGGGTTGCAGGACCCTACAGCCTTAGAGAAGTGTGCATAGTAGAGGATTTCCCAGCCCCCATACCATGGGGCCAAAGCCCTTCCACACTGGTAACTGCACCCTTGAAGGAATCCAGCTGCACTGACCCTGCCAGGGCGCGATGCCAAGGAAAGGAAGATAGGAATCCTCTTAGAAGGTGTGGGGAGCTGGGCTTGGCAAGGGGTGGAAGTACCTGCCTCCTACCTCCTCCCATCCCTTCAGCTGGAGTAGAAAAGTGACAGCAGCGATGCTCAGTCCAATCAGTTAAATTGGTTGGGTATCTCTTTAGATTCCAGAACACTGGGAAATGGCAATTCTGACAAAAGAGGCTCTGTCAGAGATGATCTGGGTGACAGACTGCAGTTAAAAACATCATCTATTGAACCTGAAAAACAATAAGCAAGACATTCATTATTATTAGCACTGCCAAAAAGAAGAAAAAATGCTTTTAAAACTCATACAACGTAACTATTCAATAATTAATGGAGAATCCTGGCTTCCACAGAAAAACTCAAAAGGCTAAACTGAAATGTGTTGCTTTTTGCTTTTTAGTGGGACATGACTGTCACTTTTCTGCAAGGCGGAGCTTTACCCTGAGCCACACATACTCTTTCTTCCTTGCAGGCCCATGTTTGGGGAATGGAGGCTCAGGACAGAGGTCAGATTTTGAAGGGGATGGAACTGGGTTTGTAGCCTTAGTGGCCCTGTGCTCAGCCTAGAGCTGGGCCTGTCTCCCGGGACAGCAGGTGCCACTTGGCTCTGCCATCTGCAGTGTATGTGGCAGCTTCCAGGAAGGGTCCTGACCCACTGTCTGGAGCTGAAGGCATCCTGGGGCTGGCTCAGCAAATTCCCAGGAAAGCCCTGCCAGGTTCCCACATGCCTCGATGTCCCTGAGATGGCTATGGCCACTCTGGTTACAGGATAGGGAGCAAGCCACAATAAAACAGGAAAATTTCCCAAGAATCTGTAGCCAATGTGTGGGCTGAAGGTGCCAACTGAGCAAGTGTTGCATTGCCACAACAGGATGTGTTATCTTCCTGAAAGGAGCTGAGTATAATCCCATATGTAGCTGCCATAGAAAGAGCAGAGTGGCATCTCTGTGAGAAACTCCCAGCCAGAGGAAGTTAATGCAACATGGAGAGGGGAAGATAGACAAACATGGGAGAGAAGAGAGGGTGAACAGTGATATAGGCTAGATAGAGAGACAGAGAGGTTCAAAGTCAGAGATGGAAAGAGAGACTTTGACAGAGAAGGGGAAGGAAGGAAGGAGTGAGGGAAGGGGAAAGAGAGAGACCATTTCTAGGAGAAGAAAACTGAGAGTAAGCATTTTTCCTATAAATATTGGAAGAAAATGGCTGTCACTAAATACAAATAATGAAAAGTGTAGTTTCCATCTGTACTTAAAAACACTGCAGGTACATAGAGACTGGTTATTTTCTGCTTCAAGGAAGCCATTCCCTGGCCTAGATGAGGCTGCAACAGAGAATGGACTCCACCAAAGACACATCCAGACAAAACGTGATCTGTGCCATCTGCTTGAGCCACATGGATATCAAAATTGAAAATTCACCATATGTCAGTTACAGTTTGTTAAATGACACCTTCTCAAGAATGTCTCTTTTGTATCTTACAAAATTTGGAGAATTCTTCCACAAATTGGTAAAGATAAGTACCACGACCATGTAGACTTCTTCCCCAACTGATAGCTTTAGTGAACATCCTGTTATCCAAAATATGCACACAGGGAAAGCAGCTTGTAATATTTAAATGAGCATTGATATTCATTTAAATTAATAATCTTTAAAATTATTTTCTGGGTATGCTGCACAATGTAATTGCTATGCCAGAAAACTTAAAGGAGCTGGAAAAGAACTCTCTCTCTGTCTCTCTTTCTGTCTCTCTCTCTCTCTCTCTCTCTCTCTTTCTCTCTCTCTCTCTCTCCTCTCTCTGACTCTCTTAAAGACAGTCTTACTATGTTGCCCAGGCTGCTGGTCCTGAACTCTTGGCTTCAAGTGATCTTCTCACCTCATGCACCAAGGTGCCTGGTTTCTCTTTTTGTTAATAAACATTTTTCAATTATTTCTAAATTATGTGATATATTTCCCTTTTATCACCAGATCTTGCCTCTTCCCTTCTCAATTGATTTTCTTTCATCAGTATATTATTTCACTGATTCAAATATTTTTCACAAGCCCTTGAGAATTTTTCACATACCTCTGGAAGTTACACTGAATTTTCGGTCAGAGAAACTGCTCCTTCGGATAAAAGGTTCACTCATTTTTTCCAGAAATAACTTAATTGTTTCTTTCTTTTCGGGACTTGTACTTGACAAATTCAGAATTTTTCCATTCACTTTCACAGTGGAATTGCTGAGCCCAAACCAATAAAAAAAATCAAATAAGGCATCAGCTTTGAATTCATACACAAAGCTCAGGTTTTCTCCATTAATCACTTCAGTCCCTGGAGGGAAAAAATTCTTCAATACTTCTTGAAAATCAAACTGAAAGACAAAGAAACATCTAATTGACTACGTGAATAGAACAATTATATTATTATAGAATTAACAACTACCCAAATATCATACTTTTTATTTCTCTTTTACATTTTTAAACTCTTAGCTTTACTTTTTTTAAAAAAAACATCTTGTTTTTGTAGCTTATTCCATTTAAAACTTTGAACTGCTTGAACTAAGAGACAATCTACAATGTGGGAAAAAATTTTTACCAGCTGTTCCTCAGACAAAGGACTATTATCAAGGATATATAAAGAACTCAAAACAATCAGTCCCCCCAAATATAAAGACCCGATTCAAAAATGGGCATCCGAAATGAACAGACATTTCTCAGACAAAGAAGTAAAAGCAGCAAGAAAATATTTGAAAAAATGTTCCACATCACTGGTCATTCGAGAGATGCAGATGAAAACAACACTGAGATTCCACCTCACCCCACAAAGAATGGCTGCTATCAAGAAATCACACAATAACAAATATTGGCGGGGTTGTGGGGAGAAAGGAACCCTTCTCCATTGTTGGTGGGAGTGCAGACTGGTGCAACCACTATGGAAATCAATATGGAGATACCTGAAAGAGCTTGGACTGGAGGTTCCATTTGACCCAGCCATCCCTCTGCTGGCTATCTTTCCAAGAGAACTAAAAGAATCATATCACAGAGAAGTATGTGCACCCATGTTTATAGCGGCACAGTTTGTAATAGCTAAATCTTGGAAACAGCCTATTTGCCCTTCCGTTGGAAACTGGATAAAGAAGTTGTGGTTTTTCTATAAAAGGGAATATTACTCAGCCATAAAGAACGAGAAAATAGATTCATTCATAGGAAAATGGATACATATTGAAGATATACTCCTAAGTGAAATAAATAAGTCCCACATGTGTAAATATCGAATAGTGTCCCTGGTGTGAATAATCTGCAACAATGCATAAGATTCTAATAAGATTACTGACATTTAGAAATGGGAAGAAAGGAGCTAAAGGTGTAGGGAAGGTGGGATGGGTAGGGGAAGAGTAAAAAGGGAAAAGAAAAAAATGTGAGATAATGAAAAGATGAAAATAAAATGTTTGTAGATGGGGAGGGGAGGAGGGGGTGAAGGGAGGGCAGAGGTAAGGGGAAAAAATGAGAATCAAGACTTGCCATGTAGAAGTACATGATCCCAACAATGAATGTAACTGTACTGTATCCCTAAAATGTACCAATAAACTCAATAAAATTAAAAAAAAAAACTTTGAACTGCTTGGCCCAAATCACACTTATTTATACACCTTTCCTAAAAAGTTGCTAGAAACTAAGCCTGCTTTACTGGCAGCAGTTATGACACAATAGAGAATGAAATATAAAACAATTCCCCTTTATTCACGGTTTTGCTTTCTGAAGTTCAGTTTCCCGTTGTCTGAAGATATAACATGGAAAATTCCAGAAAGAAATAATTTATACATTTTAATAATTTTTTATTTGCTCTATTTTGCTGTTAGTGATGATGCATCTCTCACTGAGCCTAATGCATGAACTCTGGAATAGGTACCTACAGGAAAAAGCACGACATATACATAGAGTTCGGTACCATGTGCAGTTCCAGGCATATGTGTGACATATCAGGGGCCTAGTGCAGTGCAGCACAGGCTCCAGGGACACAGTCTGTGCAGACTGTGCACCCGCTTCGTACAGGTAGCAGCCTGGATCCAGCCAGGTGAGGCTTACCTTCAGTTGGTAACTTTCTCCAATCACTGAGGAGATGACCATGTCCATCCCCTGCTCTATCTGTCTTCTTATCTTTGGGTGCCTTGTATTCACAAGAAATGCGTATGTCTTTTCTAGAAATTAGCAAGCAGAATTCAGAAAGAAATGTGTACATATGACATAAACATACTTCTTTGGATTTGCTAAAGCAGTAAACTTTGGAGTAAATCTTATAAGCAAGCCTCCCTCTGATTCCCTCAAGCCCTTACTGCAGCATCTGAAGAGATTTCTAGAAACATTCCCAAGAATTTTGAGGGTTTGAAGGCAGTTCTCGGCTACTGTAAAAGCAGATTAGCAAATCATCTTCCTTGAGGCTATAGTTTGTCACCTGTGTCTCAGAAATCAAAAGTTCTGCTCTATAATTATCACAGGTGAGAACTGTGCTGCCCTGCATGAATCCAGCATGGGAAAAGAAGGGGAAAATGGACATGGCTGATTTTCGGGTCCTGCCTTGCTGGATATTTAACTCACAGCTTGTCTCTCACTAGTATTTCCTATTTGCAAAGCAGAAAATCAGCCAAGTCTAGACAAAAGGGCTGCCTGTGCCTTGCACTACCACCCTCCACTTCCCCAGCTTCACCAGAGACCTGGCATTCTTTCTGTCAAATGGACAGTCTGGGTTCAAAGGATCAAGGCAACATGAGATTAATTTTCCCCCCTGCTCCTACCCCTAACACATTCCCAAGGGAGAGAAAAGAATGTCTTTCCCATTATTTAAATGATACCTTTTCTCTGTCCTGAGAGACACTAGCCTTTTTCCCCCCATTGTTGTGTTGTGTGTGCCGTGCTGTGCTGTGCTGTGCTGTGTTGTGTTGTAAACCTTTAAGTGCGATTCTGTCCATTTCTGCATAATCTAAGCAAAGGGAAGGTGGCTCTCTCATTGGGAAATTTGAAATATTATTGATTAGCAGCCTCAACTTTTCCAGACCCTAGAGTCAAGCACTTCTTCAAGAAGGCAGGGGACACCCAGGTCACCCTCTGTGTGAAAGAATGAACATTTTGATTTGACTTTGAGCTATCTCAGAGGCAAATCTGTGGGCACTGATACCAAGTATTTACATTTCAAAGGGATGCATTTTGAACTAACCTTCCTCACCCTACTTTTCCTTGAGATATAAACTACCTGATATTTTCTTTGAGACAAGTGATAAATAAAATAAAGCAAGCAAACAATTTGATACCTTGAATTAAATTTCACACAAACAAAACCAGGACCTTTAGACTGATTACATAGTCAAGGCTACTATGGTCCATAGTTGTGCTGGCTGGGAAGGTTGTGACTATACAACTTTAGAGAATGCCATTCACATTTATAAACATGTCTATGTGTATATTTATTATGAAAACATTAGCTGTTGTCTGGAAGAAATGAAGGTCTTTCTAATTTGCATAAAAGTACAGTTTAAAATAGTATCAGAGCTGACATGTTGCCTTAATCATAATTTCCATAACCTAGCTTGACCATTTAAAATTTTTCTATTTCAGAACCACTCGCCAGGCATGGTGGCGCATGCCTGTAATCCCAGCATTCAGGAGGCTGAGGCAGGAGGATTACTGTGAGTTCAAGACCACCCTGGGCTATATAGTGAGCTCCAGGTCAGTCTCAACTACATAGTAAGACCCTGTCTCAAAAAACAACAACAACAACAACAAAAATAAACCACTTTATTTTACAACTTTTCTTAAAATTAACCAGTGATGACTTTCAGTACCTCCTTGCACAATAGTTGTCATACCTCAGAGCACTTTCTTTAGGTCGCACAAAAATATCTTTTTGTACTACTCCCTGCACTTTCAGTGAAATTTTAACGTGGACAGGGCTGTCTGTTGCTGCAGATTCCTCTCAGAGGTCAGTGTGGGAGGTGTTCTTTATATAGCTGTGAATTACATTCCTAGAGAACTCTGGCTTTCTGGGTCACTGAGCTGAAGAATATGTGAGGCTCAGGTGGCCTGACAAGCACTTCTTAGAACAGTGTGTTCTCCCGTGGCCTCTCCTACAGAGAGCATCCTGACTTTGAACCACGAAATGAGCAGAGAGAGCTCCAGTAATGCGAATGACAGCCCATGTTAGGGGACACCTATTTGAAATTTGTAGATCATTTTTTATGACCTTGGACTTATTTTAAGAATTCTATTTAGAAGCAAGTTGACCCTTATCATGAACATTATGCCCATGACTTTCCCCACCTGCTGCTCTGAGGAGGAGCGTGGTAAAATAAGGACAATTTTTCATATTGCAATTTAAGTCATATAGTTGTTACCAGTTAATCTGATGTTTTGGAAGAAACATAAAGAGATGTGCCTAAACATGAGATCTTCCTTCCCCACTTCTCTATCTCTTGACCCCCATAAGGGATAAAAAACAGAAATTGGGATGTGTTATGTCCATGTACCAACTCCACGAAAGGAAAGTAAACATGTATGCACTACAAACATATACCAAACAGACAAACAAAACAGAAGAGAGAAAAAAGGTTGAGGGAGGAGGGAGGGAGGGAAGGGAAAGGGGAGGAGAAAGGAATTAAGACATACATGTACTAATTAAGTCAGTACATGTACTAACTTCTCACAAGAATGTAAATGCTACGCATTACATACATGTACTAATAACTAAAGTTAAAAACTAAAAATAAGCATGAAATCCTACTACATAGAAACATGAAACATAAAGCATCCACAACTCCTATTTTTATCTATAAAATGAGAATAGCTGGGTGTGGGGGCAGATGTCTGTAATCCCAGTACTCACGAAGCTGAGGGAAGCATCACCACAGGGTCATGAGGCCAGCCTAGGCTATGCAGTGAGCTCAAGGCCACTGAACTAAATAGGAAGACCCTGTCTCAAACAAACAAACAAATAAACAAGTGAATAAAACATAAGACGAGAATGAGGATAGACTATGTAAGACAACCATGCATCCTACTCTCCTGGGTGGGTCCCAGTTTATACCTTTGTCCCGGAATAAGCATTGATTATGATGACTTTCATGCTCAAAGTAATGTTGCCCCTTGGATGATAAGTCATATAGGGTTGGTGTACTAATTAATTACATCATAGCATTTCTCAGACATACTGTTTGATACATGTAGAGTATATTATAAATATATCATCCTTATCACTCCAAGCATTTTTACAGTCACCGAGGACCCAGAGCATCAGGTGACTTCCTTGTCTACGGAGGAAACAGGAAAAAATATCTAAGATAGATGGCCTTGCAGTGCAGCCATTATGGGTTTGTCTTGCAAACTTGTGCTGTGTTACAGATGGCCTCACACTCAGGCTCCTTGCTGCTGGCCTTGTCCTGAGCTGACCAGCCTGCTTTCTCCATGCCCCACTCCTACCTCATTAGTGTACCTTAGTGCATAGCCCAGCAAGGCAGAACCCAATCAAAATTATTTACAAACCTACCTTTTGAGGTGTCTTGTTTGGTCTGTACATTAATAAAGAACAGCATTGGTTTGCTCAATATAGTTTCCCTGTAGTCTTTATAATCACAGTAGTTGGTCAGTTCCACATATCTATGAAAAAGCAAAGAAAATTGCTAATGTAATGTCCCATTTCAGTTAGGAAGTGGATATATGGACATGTACCTGTCATACTCTTTGAAGCAAGTTCTCTAAAGTGCATCCTTGTAGAGTTCACCATGCTTTTATATCATATAAGTAAATCTTCTTTCTTTGGTCTTGGTTAATCAACTGAGGGTTCAGTGTGCAACCAAAGGTCCCATGGCCTTGGCTTGGCTTGGCTTGGTTTGGCTCTCAAAATAGGTTAGAAGAGTACACTTGAAGCCAAAAGGGCTCTAAGTATGGCTATATCAAGAATGAATTACTCTTAGTAAGTGGAATTAACTGGAATATTTCCAGTGGAATCATCCTATCTAACTGGTATGCCTGGAATTTTCCTTTTCTTTTCTTCCCCCAGCCCCTCTCTAATCCCAAGATAACCACACCCTCCTTCATAGATTGCAGTCAACCAATATTTGTATAAACTATTACTAAATTCTATTTCCCCAACACTGAGCCTATGCAACTTAAACAAATAAAATTAGTGATGGACTTTTGCCCATATCCTCATTAAACTTAGCTTCCTTCATTATTCCTGGCAAGAAAGATTTTTCTCTATTTGACTCTGTCATTTAGCATATTAGCTTTCTTTCTGTCCCCTACAAATCTTCTAAACAGACTTTCTGTCTCTACCTATGCTGCTAATAATAAGATCCAAGGGAAAATTAGCTTCCTTCAAGAAGATGGCTAATTTCCTAACTACACTGAGTTCAGATGCTGTGCAAGATAGAGCAGGTTTAATGGCATCCAGTGGGCTGAAGGATGCCTCTGCCACAGTCCCTCTTAAATGTGGAGCTGGTTCCCCACTGACACAGCTGTAAGTATCTGCATGGAGTGAATGGGCTGGCTGAGCTAACACAGCGCGTGGTGCCTCTTGCTACACTGCAATGTGATTGTTTCTTATATCTAGTTGTGAGTAGAGACAGCTCCAGGCATTTCTTTCCAGCTGCTTGTCCTTCCAGTACCTGACATGAAAATAATATCCTTGGAAAGAAAAGAGCTGCTGCAGGGAGCTGTGGCCATACAGTTACCTTGGCATCCCTCCCTGTGTCCACTTCCCACAATCCCCTTAGAGGGGCCAGAGTACAAGACAGTGACCCAGGTGTAGGTCTAGAGCACAGAGGAGAATATATACCCCAAAGCAAAAACACAGCTTCTGCTTGCCTGTCTCCCAGCTTGATTTCATAGAAATCTATGTCATTATCATTTTGCTACATTGTCAGAGCTGATTTTGAGAGCTTTTAAAAAGCGACCCTTGATGGAGCCTTTGAAACATTTCTTGCCTTCTATTTCATGAGGCTTGAAGGTAGTCTCACCTCCCAACTGATCTGCACTGGAGATAATTTGGGGGCTTGTCCTGGGATGGCCTGAAAACAAAAGCTGGAGTGTTCCAGAACTGGAAAAAGGTACAGGTGTTTGATTCTCTGGGGTGTGGGCAAGGACAGGAAACGAGAAGGAGCAAGAGACAGGGTCTGGGGCATTACAAGGGGACAGATGGAGTAAAGGAAAATAGACCCCAGGTTTTTTGTGGTCTTTTTGCTCCTCTCTCACCTTCAGCTGGGCAGAACAGTAGAAAAGGGTGAGTGGCAGTACCTAAAAGCCTGAGCAGGTGGCACCTGGGTTTCCTGTCAGAGGGGAGAGAATCTCCCTGTCCTCCTTTGTTCCAAGTGACCAACTATCAGAAGGCACTGGAGAAAAGAAGCAAAAGAGAAGGATGGAAAAGGGTACCGCTGTTTTCCGAGTTCATTCATTTGCAATGATTCATTCGTTCATTCTGCAATATTCATTAAGCCCTGATGATGTGCTGGGCACCAAGTAGACAACACAAGCATGGATCAGAGCCTGGCAAGGAGATGGGGACTGTGCAGGACAAGAAGCCTACTGTATTCCTCTATGTGCCCTATTCTGCCATCTTTCTATTCAGTTGTCAGTGACCAGCCCAGGACTAATACGAAAAAGACAGGTGTATGTAATTAGGTGGGAGCCAGACACCACCTATGATTCATCTCAGGAAGTTTCACGCTCTTCCACCACCTTGCTAACCAGGGTGGGTCACTGAACCCTTTGGAGATCAAGGCTGATCTAAGGATACAAATATTGTTCTCACATATTGTTAAGAAGTAACACCTGAACCCCAACTTTCCATCTCCACAGCGTTAAGCATCATTACTACTCTCCCCAAGGAGATTTCTCTATTCTTTTAAAACCCATGGTACCATGATTGTTCTCTAGAGTGAGCACATGGTGTTTGTGTACAACCATCACAGAAAATCTGCACTGTTATTACTTTTCTGATAACCCAAATAACAGCGCACTATTTCTCTTTGCTCACCAAATCAATTGACATTGGTTGGAAACATCATTTTAAATCACTGGATCTTCTTCCAGTGAACCCAAAGCAGAAAAAAAAAGATACAAATCTCAACTTAGAAATGATCAATGGTTGAGAGAATAATCAGTTTTCTCCAGGGTTCTGTGGAAGGCTTTTCTGAATGCTGTAGAGCTCAACAAGCAACTATTTGGCATAGTCAGAGAAAGGTACCCTGTAGTCACATATCGAGTTTAATGTACAACATGTGCATGAATAGTCCATTTGGAGTCTGAATTTAATAAAAATCCTGGATGCAGGACAGAAATTAATCTGCCTTTGATGATTTGGAGACCTTAATAGGCTGCAAACCTTGTAGTAGAGCATGTCCATTATCCTTGTGTGACAGATGTGTGAAAACAGCTTATCCAAGAACTCTGATACCAGAACTTACTGGATATAAATAAGAACTACAGTAGTCCCTCCTTATCTTCCCAAGATACATTCCAGGGGCCTCAGGGGATCCCTGAAAACTCAGGTAGTACCAGATCCTACATACAAGTAATGTGATATCTCAACCTAGAGGGCTACTAAGGGACTAATAGATGGGTAGTGTATAGATATATATAAAGTAAGGATATATGGGACAAAGGGAGGACTCATTTGCTGGGTGTGAGAAAGAATTAGACAGTGAGTATTTCATCATGCACCAGAATAGTACAAAAATTAAAACATGTGCATTATTTTTTCTGGAAATTTCCATTTAATATTTTTTCACCACAGTTGACCACATATCAAGGAAGGCTAAATTATGAATAAGGGCAAAGTATTAAGCCCCATTAACTCCTCCATGTTAATGCTCCCAGTTATTGTCCAACTGTTAAAAACCCTAAAATTCCAGTGAAATAAGCAAACATGAGCATTTTTTTTTAAATTCACTATTATAAAATTTGGATTCATAAATTCCTTAAAATACAAAAAGATAATAGGACCCGGTTGTTAAAACCTGAAGCTATTTAAGTATCTGACATTTAATCACTGGTTTTAAGAGGAGGCTTGCTAGGGTACATTAGGGACTAGTTATTTGATCTTTAATCATGAATATTTCTAAATTAATGATGGAAAATCACTCTTGTGTATTGAATATTTATTATATTTGCTGAAGTTATCATTTGGGATGCAAAGCAAACAGTTAAGATAGACATTCCTTTAAAGTCATTGCTTCATTGCTTTTTCCCTGACCCTAAAATACTTCTAGGCTGAAACATTCTAAGCCTGGCTTCAATACAAAGGTAGGGAGGCAAGATAATGTCAGGGGAGGCATAGTGTTTCAAAATAAGATCTAATTTATGTCCAAACTCACAGGCTCTGTTAACTTCATTTGAGAGCCACAGCTTACTGTTACCTGAAGTGAATTATGTAACCTAGCTACACCTGCTCCCTCATCGGTTGAAGAGGCATAATCATGTGGTGATTAAATTCGGTATGTGTAACGCGGACATACACACTGAAGCCCATAGGAGATGCTCAGTAATTACTGTGATTATCTTTAATTTTGGCCAACTCAGCAGGCCCATAGGATGAGGTTCTGCAAGCCTCTGACTCCCAACCAGGGATGTGTTCATTTGAATTACCAGGAAATAAGTATCTGAAAGATAAATTAGCAAGAGTTTCTCATTCTCTTCTCCAACTTCTTGCCTCATTTTTTCAGTTTGGAAGGCTAACAAGGACAGCTTAACGAGGCAACATCTGAGAGATGTGACCAAAAAAGAGCACTGTGTTTTACTTTCTAGCAAATCAGGAATGGCTGGAAGATGTGCCGCCTTTTAAGGTGCCACCTTCAGAGCCTCTTTCATGCCCCATGGTACAATCAGGAGAGCTGCCCCAGATTTCCCTCAAGTCTAATGGACAGCTACCTCACTTCTACATGCTCAGTTAGAGTTTGTCACCTTCTCTTGTTGCCATCAATTTTAAAATTTTTAAATGCACTTATTAATGCACTTAAGTAAATGTCCTTCATCAAAACTCCACTGATACTGAGATAAATCTACAGACATGTCCTAGACACAAATGTTGTCAAAGGATGTCCTGAGTAAAAGATCCAACAGAGGACAAACTCAGACCCACAGAGATCACCAGACTTGACACAATGCCTGCTGCTGAAACCCCCAAGAACAGACATATCCTGCCATAGAGGAAACACAACCACCCAATGCCTAGATGCCATTTGACATTGCCCTGCTACAACTGCTGCTGTTTCCAAAGAAGAGAGGAGATGTAGGAGACATCGCTGCCCAGTAGTAGTGGGCTATGTGTGGCACACGCTTCTTACCTTCACTAATTTGGCTATATTGTTTTATATCAGGAGTCAGACCAAAGCCCTGCATGACTCAAATGGTCATGTCAGCTGGCAGAGTTAGGCTAGTGCTGCTCCTTTGCTAATGGCTGTCACCAAGGCCTAAGTCCTGATCTGTGAAGTGGAAGGTCCTGATGAATTACACTCAGCTGAGGTCAGTATGACCCCAATTAAAATCCTTTCTCCTGAATTATCACTTTTCACTGACTTTGAGGATTGCTTGCTAATTGTGCCTGGTCCCAGTACTGGTTTCTTCTATCCTAGCAAAATAAGCAGTGCCTACTTCCTGAC